ATTTTGGGAATAATGAGGGCAACAAATGTATAGATGTGCTTTACACAATTGATCTATGTATTGTGATGAATTGTATGAGCCCCAATAAATTGATGGGAAAAAAAGTTGTTCTCCACAATGTCCCCCTGTAATAATGCAATTTTAAGATGCTGCTTGCAAGCACATGGTTGCTACTACATGCTTGAAGGTTAGCTGCTTGAAGGTTGTCTGCCATCCAGAGCAATCTGAGTGCCCCACCCTAAGTACCGCCCACCTCCTTCTGGTAAGGATCTGGTAAGGACACCTGAGGTCAAGCCAGCTCCAGGACGAGCAGGGTTGACACACCAACTTAACTCTAGGGCCTGCCCGTCTTGTTACATGTGGACCTTCCTGTGTATGCCTCTAGTCCCCCCCTCTTCCCCTTCCATACATGTATGACCTAGCTTGCATTCCCTGAGACTATATAAGCCTGTCAGAGAATACATTAGTGCTCTTCCTCTCTCTCTGTTTCTGGTCTCCATGGAAGAGGTGAGCCCTTGCATGCCTTGTCTGATGTTTCTTTAATATATCCTTCAATTACACAAACACCTCCTAGGACCCATTTGATTGTGGAGGCTGGTCCCCAACACTGTGCCATCCTCACAATTGTTCTCATGTTTGAGCCCATCGATGCAGGCACTGTGTCCATTCATCTTTAGAAGTTCTTCCTCTTCTTCACTGCTCCACATCGTCTGAAGGGCCTGCATTTTTTCTCAAATCCATGCTGTTTTTAAAAAAAATTAAATTTAATTTTGTTGTTGAGACTATAAAAACAGCAAAACATATGCCAAACCAATGCATAGCTTCTACATGTTCATCTCAGTGACATTGGCGACATGCTTGGAGTTGCGTACCCATTCTCACCTCCTTTATTGGGCCATTGTACCTTCATCATCAGCATAAACTCGCCACCCCCTAAAGTTTCTATCTCATCTTTCGAGTTGCTGTTGACACTTTGATCCCATCTAGTCATTGCCATCGAATGGACTCCAGCTCACAGCAATGCTGTCAGGACAGAGTAGAAGTGTCCCATCAAGTTTCCAAGGTGTGCGTCCTTCCAGAAGCAGACTTCCGTGTCTCTCTCCCCTTGGGTGGCTGGTAGGCTCCTACTGCACAGTGTTCGGCTGGCAGCCTCAAGCTTGAAATGCGCCACCAGGACTCTCTTTGATTCCATGTCGACAGTGCCTCAAAGAGAACAATGCTGGCAGCATTTACTCAAGGACAACATTCAGAAGGGTTAGGAAAGAAGGATGAATGATTATAGGAAATGCAGGTAGGACACGGCGTTACATTGAGGGAATGACACTCAAGGAGATAAAACAACAAAATGTGTCTGAATGGGAAACTGGCTCTGTAAACCTTTATCCAACACACACAGACACACACACACACAGACACACACACACACAACACAAACATAATGCTCAAGCCAGCTTCTACTAGTTAAATTGAATTATTGTTTGACTTTAAGAAGACTTCAGGGGATATTTTTGGTCTGATTATAAAAGACTGTCTCAGGGTATAGTTAAAGAGATTTATCCAGCTCTCATAGCTCGAGGAAGTTAAGTCCATGAGAATTTGAAATTCTGTTCTACATTTCTTCCCTTTTGATCAGGATCCTTCCATAGCTTTTTAAACATTATTATTAAATTGGTCATCGCTGGGCACCATCCAGGTCTTCTGGCCTCATGGCAAAGGAGGCAGTTGTTCATTAATTTGCCACATATTCCATATCCTCGTTCTGTTACAGACTCTGATTCGCTTCTCTTCCTCTGGTTCTCAACCTGTGGGTGGCCACCCCTTTGGGGGGGTCGAAGGACCCTTTCACAGGGGTCGCCTGATTCATAACAGTAGCAAAATGACAGTTACGAAGTTGCAACGAAAATAATGTTATGATTGGGTGTCACCACCACATGAGGAACTGTATTAAAGGGTCGCAGCATGAGGAAGGTTGAGAACCACTGCTCTAGATGAATACAGACCAATTGTTATGCCTTACATGGTCACTTACAAACTTTGAAGACTATATTCACCATTTATAGTCAAAATCGCCCATTTATCAATATACAGTTGAGTCAGAATAGGCAGGACAACTATGCTTACTTGTCAGCCTGGAAGTGGTTATATTCTACAAACGGTAGCAGCAAGGGATGGAGAGGTGGGGACAGTACAAGCACACCTGAATAAATGAATGAGGAGAAATGAAATGGGTAGCAGGAGCCAAGATTCTCTAGGATTAACCTACTGTGTAGAATTCGTTTTCTGCCCATATGAATATAGAAGCTATAAGAGCATTTTTCAAGCTCTAGTTCCACCTTAGTTTTTCCCATATCTTTAACTTGTGCTCACCTCTTACATGCTTTTACTAAGCGTGTTCAGAGGGGATGAGGCAAAGATCATTAGAAAGCAGCCAAACACCCACATTTAGTGCTGCCATTGATTGAAAAATGTGCTCCCAGCAAGGTCAGCCTCCCCTGGTATGCTGGGTAAGAAAGTTGTTGTTGTGAGATGCCCCTGAGTCCGTTGTGAGCCAAAGCCACCCTGTGCCCAACATCACCAGACACTGCCTGGTCCTGGGCCATCTCACAATTATGTTAGAATCCATGGTGGCAGCCCTGATGTCAATTTGTTTCACTAGTTCAGGGTCCTTCTCTGTTTTGCTGATGTTCCACCCTATTGAGAATGGTGTCCTCCAGGACTGGCTCCTGATAACATGGCCAAGTCTCCCTATCTTCTGTTCTAAGGAGCATTCTGGTTGTATTTCTTCCAAGACAGATTTGTTATCTTCAACATTCTTTATCAACACCATAATTCAAATGCATCAATTCTTCTTCGGTTTTCCTTATTCCGTGTCCAACTTTCACAGGTATCTAAGGTGATTGGAAATACTATGGCTGTGGTCAGGCACACCTTAGTCCTCAAAGTGATGCCCTTGTTCTTCCATACTTTAAAGAGGTCTTGTGCAGCAGATTTGCCCAATCGAAGACATTTTAGGTTTCTTGACTGCTGCTTCCATGAGTATTGATTATGGATCTACGTAAAATGTAACCCTTGACAAACTCAGTCTTTTATACATTTATCGTGATGTTGTCTATGGGCAGGTTTCCATGCTCTTTTTTCATGTTGGAATAGTCATGAAGGTCACATGTTGAGGTGACAGGGTAGGGTTGTGAGGAATTTTGTTTTCTTTGCACTGAGCTGAATTCCATACTGAAGGCTGCGGTATTTGATTTTCATCAGCAAGCGCTTCAAGTCCTTGCTTTCAGCAAGTAAGGTTGTTAATAAACCTTCCTCTAATCCTAATGACAAGTTTTTCTTTATAGAATCCAGCCTCTTGGATTAGTTACTCAACAGACAGGTTGAACAAGTATGGTAAAATGCTACAACCTTGAGACACACTTAAAAATTTTTTTTTAATCCTCTCAGCGGTTTCTTGTTCTGTTTTGGGTCTATGTGCAGGTTCCACAAGAACACAATTGAGTGTTCTAGAATTCCCATTCTTTGCAACTTTATCCATATTTGTTATTATCTACATGGTTGAATGTCTTGCATACTCAATAAAGCACAAACAAGATGGTGTGATAGTTACACAATTTCACGTCAACTTGATACAAGAATGAAGGGGAGGAGTCTAGCCTGTCAATCAGGTCACAGCCTGATGATCCCTCCTTGTGGGCATGGCCTTCTCATGCGGATTCTGGGAACTTTCTTTCTCTTGATTCAGCCATCAGAAGAGGTGGGCCACTCTCTCACTCTCTCTTTCTGCTTCATCTTCCTGTTGAAAAGGCACATGGAGCCACGCTGATGGCAGCCAGAGCCCTAGAGATGCGTCCACCACCATTGGATCCACAGGGCTATCCACTGGCCTGTGATCGTCCTGCATTCATCATTATTGCATGTGTTGTGTGAGTCTGAAAAGGAATTCATGGGCTAATATCAGACATATGGGCTAATATTGTACTTATGAATCTGATCTGGACTGGGCTGGGATGTTTTCTTAATATACAATTAAGCTCTCTCTTTGATATAAAGCTCTCTCTTATGCCTATATGAGTGTTTCTGGATTTGTTTCTCTAGCCAATCCAGTGGGTAAGACTAGATTATGTTAAAGACCAGGATGGGTCAGGGGAAGACCTACCCCTATGATTCAGGCAGGGTCTCAGCCT